CCAAATAATCGACTTGATTCTTCTCTACACTTTCAGGATTTTAAAGTTCATGATGTGCTTCATGGTCATTAAGATTGTCCACTTATGTGGCTTCCAAATTGTTATAAATCAGGGAACTTTTTTTTTTTTTTTTTTACTATCACTCATTTTCAGCCTAGCTTAAGAATTTCAAGACTTGGATTAAATGACTAATGAACCGATGGCCTTAGATAAATCCTAATTTATCTGTACTTCACTTTGCATTGGTAAAACATTCATTTCATAAAAGTATATACAAACATACCTACTCAACCAAACTATTGACTCCTTAAGGACAAAGATCAGGTCCTTACATCTTTTCTACCTTGAAAATAAATATTCTTGAATGAATTAATCAATCAACATACAAGTCACCCAGTTGGTTAGTATTTGTGATATGTAAATACTTTCCAGCAGATAATTTAACCTTCAAAATAAATGGATTTACTTTGGGGTTTACTGCTAGTGTAATTTTGTAGTACATAATTCATGTAAGTTTATTTTGTGAACCTTAAGAAGCTAAAGGAAAAATATCGGTTTAGTATGTTTAATTTTTTCTCATTCGTAAGACAAAATAATATGTTTTTTTTTTTTCACGAAGGTGCTCTAAGTCTTTAGTAGTTGCTTCTACTTCTCTCACATCACTATTTCAGGCCCTAGGGCCTAGTTGTCTTAGAAAGGGGAAGAGGACAGTATAGGGAAGAGGATGGGTTTTAAAGAAAATAAACATCTGTTCAAAAGATTCAGAAAGTAAATATCTTAATATTTGAAGACTGACATCTAAATAGCGTAAAGATATATTCTGTATGTGTATGGAAAAAGAGCTTTACATAAGATAACTTTTTGACATAAGCACATGATTGAACCAACTTATCTGATTTAAAATATTAAGCATAATCTATAAGAAAAAGTCAATATTATATATGAGTATATATTTCCCAAACATCATTCAAATAACTTTCTTTGAGAGACAAGATGCTTAGTACTAGAGTCAAGGCTGTTGACATTGAACTTCCTTAGTTTTGTTTTAAGATATCTCCATTTCTTTCCTTTTGAAAGGCAATGAACTATTGATAATAGTTCATGATAAGTTTATGATAAGGTGATTAGATATTGAAAAGTTGACTTTCCATTATTTTAATGCAGAATCTTCTTCATGAGTTCTTTTTTTGTCATTGTTGTTGTTTTTACTGAAGAAGCCTATCTCTTTTAAACTCCAAGCTACAAGGACCACTGATGTCCATTGCCTAAAACAGTGTCTGTTACATAGTAGGTGCTCAAAATTTGTTATATAAATAGATGGAAGAGGACCTTTCATATAACTATATTTGAAATGACATATTTATAGTTTTTCCCCCACACAAGAAACATTGTTTTCTTTATCCTCTTATTTTCTTGAACCAACTATTTCTCCCTTTTTTTCTAGAAGTTTTACTCTTTTTGTATTTTGTCTAAATCTTCCCCAGTTTCTGAAAATACAGTCACTTAACCTTCTCTTCCATCCACTTTCTTTCCTTAATTTCAGGCAAAGATGTGAAAATAATGGTGCTTATGTCTTTGTATGATAGAACTCCCTTTGTCTTTTCTTTAGACTCATTTTAATCCTTAGTGACTCATATTTAAGAAATGAACTGTGCAGCTGTGGTGGAGCTAAGCCCTTGGCAACAACCATAGGGGCAAACAAGTGGTATCGCACAATAGATGGATGGTCCTTACCCTTGAATTATTTGCTGTTTGGTTTTAACAATAGAAATGCATCATCAAACAGTATCTTGGACTTTTTCAGTCTGAAAAGACCTTTAAGATCCATTTCCTTATTTTACAGACCTTGCTCCAATAATTATCTCCACTTTCTCCTATCTAGGTCATTAATACATCCCTCTCTGCTATGGTGACTAACTGTCCTGGTTTGAGACTATCCTGGTTTCAGCATTGAAGTCCCACATCATGAAATATACCTCAGTACCTGGCAAACCAGTATGCTTGGCTATCTTACTATTGGCTTCCATCTTTCGGTGTATATTTAAACCATTTCTATCCTTAAAAGATCCTCTCTGTCCTCCTGCCCTATCTTTCTCTTCTAAATCTCAAAAAAAAAAAAAAAGATACTGCAAAAATAGTTTTTATTTGAAACACCTACTTCTTCCTCTCCCACCCATTCCTCAACTAAGCTTACTTCTAAGGCTACCGCCCTCCACTGAAACTTTTCTCACTGAGTCCCATGAGCACTTTTCAGTGCTGATCTTGCTTTACCTCTGTGTTGCATGATTGGACACTCTTTATTTCTTTCTTCCTCTCAAACTCTAACTCTCTCTTCAATAGTTCTATACTCTTCATTTCCCTCAATCTTTCCACCTTTGGCCTCTCTTGGAATCCAGTTCCTCTGTCTGCCCAACAAATTTTTCTATTCTCCAGGATTTTGTTTTCAGCTCACTCTAGTGACTGAGCACTCTCATTTACTTATATAATTTTAACCCTTACCTATAGGCACTCAGTGGATATTAGCTTAGTGAGAGATTACCTCTTAAATCTCCTTCCTTCTCCCTAAACATTACACTTATATTTATTTCTTTCTGGAATGTTACCTCTCCAAGCTGAGCATATCACACCCCCTTACTCTGTTCCCCATACAGATTTCCCTTTATATTACTGTTGGGTTTTTAATATTCATCTTTATTAATTTTATCCTGAATGCACACATGCACATGAGGTGTTCTGGATCAGAGACAGATTTTTCTTGATTAGTTCACGGTAAATATCATCACCACTCTCCTCCTGTCTTTGCCCAAGTCAGAGGTTCCTAATTACCTACAAGACAAAATCTAGGTTTCTTAGCAGAGCATATATGGTCATAGGTTGAGCTTCACATTGAGATAACAATGTCCTGCTTCATCTCTGGACATAACCTCTCCTTATACTTTGTGTTCTAGAACACTGGTCTACTTGAAATAACTATATATGCCATACTGTATTATGCCCTAGGTCTTCGTGCTTACATTTTTGTCTCCTTTCTTTCCTTTTCCTCTAACTTGCTCTTCCTTGGCTAGCTCATGTTCATGCTTTAGAATTCTTCATGAATACTATATCTTCTCCAGGAAGCCTTTCCCAATTTCCTTTTCCATATAATGCAAGCTTATAGCACTTTCCACATTACATTAAAATTATTTATGTGTTTGACTCTTCCACTATATTATATTAGTTCCTCAATGAGAGGGTCAGTTCCACTTTCAACTTTGTATTTCTAGCCCCTAGTACAATCACCGACATATAGTAGTTCAATAAAAGGAGCAGTTATTAATTTTATAATTAGTAATATCACTATCGGTTGCCTCTTGTCAAGTCTAAATGAAGAGACCAGGCAAAAATAATAATTTTCTTGAAGCTGGGAAAATTAAATGTATAAGAAAAATACAGGAATAGAAGAACTATCTACATATACATGCATGCATGCATGCACGCGTACGTGCACACACAGACACAGATTTCAAATGAAATATTAGCGGGAGACTCAGACTTACCTGTAAATAGAGTAAACAACCCACCTACTCTGTATGATTTTAAAGGAGCAAGATTATTCTACTACACAGAAATTACATCTCTATTCACAGGCCGAATTCTAATATTCCACTTATAGAATTTCATTATTTTGGTTCAGACACCTTGCCTCTCTCTACTGAACTCTAAGTAACTATAGAAGATGAATCACTTTGCAAAGTAATAGACAAAGAATTCCTTTGAATGGTGAACACCATTAGGATTCTATTTGTAAATATGTCATATAATACATTTGTAAATATGTCATATAATAATGAGTTCTTGAGCACTCATATAACACAACATATCTGAAGTTTAAGGAGCTGCTAATTTTTCTCCTTGTAACAGAACAGGGCTTAAATCCAGTAGGCAACTCTACTAAAAATAGGATAGAATTTTTAAAAGATATGAATAATTAACTCCTAGATCAGGGCAATTATTATTACTGTAGTTTTTACACTGATCTATTAGCATTCATGTGGTATTTCATACTTTAATTAACACCTTCACTTCTGATATTGCAGAATCTGAGTCCATACCTATCTTTGGTGCTTTCAGAGCATCTGTTAGTTTATCCTAACCTCACAGGATGTCTCATCACCCTTCGCACTCTGTATATGAATTTTACTGTGTTCATTCTTTATCTAGTGTTTGTTTTCTCCCTTCTTTTGGTCCATAAACTTCTTGAAGGCAGAAACTGTGTATTTTGCTTTTCTTTTAACCCCCAGTAACAAGGAAGATTAAAGATTAGAGCTTAAAATCAATAACTAGCCTAGATGACCTCGAGACACCTATTCTAGGTCTACTCATTTTTTACAAACTTGATCCCACAACTCCTACCACTGGTATACCTCGAAACATATCTACCATTCTCAAAGAAGTCACAGTGAATAATGTAATAGGTATTTTTTTTTAATTATTGGATTTTTAACTCAGTTTAGTAATAATACATCACTTTATTCATCGTCAGACATTTGGGCTGAATTAATGGTGATTGTGAATTGGATTGCTTGTATACTTCAATACAGCCTAAGTTCTTACAAATAGCTCTTCGGGCTTCCCATTATGTTCTGGATATCCATTCTTTTGGATATGTATGTCTTCATTAGCCCTGCTAGGGTTTTGCAATATATATCTTGTGACTTTAGCTCTAGATTTTAAGTTTGGCGGGCAGGTTATATAAATAAATCACTCTTGTCTTAATGAAAGGGCATTAACATATCTTGAAAGCTCCCCTATCCTCTCCAGGATAGTTTTACAAACACAGTCATTTGCTGGTTAATAGAGATATCCATATGGCCTTCTTTGCCGTATTATAATTATCAGTTTATAAATAAATGACTAGAAATTAACCTAGGAATTTTATAACCAAGTTCTGAGCACCCAGGATTAATTTTGAGAAGAATGTCACAAGCCAACTCAGCATTTCTTTTCATTTTATTTCACAGGCCTTTAAGAGGGAATTGAAAACGAAGGAACCTGTAATCATGAGTACTCTTGAGACTGTGCGAATATTTCTGACAGAACAGCCTTTGGAAGGACTAGAGAAACTCTACCAGGAGCCCAGAGGTAATTGAATGTGGAACTGTAATAACGTATTGATAGAAGGATCAGTGGTGACAGAGCAACCCATCCATTCTGGCTGCCAGGATCTGGATACCTCTCATATTTTCTAGGTTAAATAGAATCAAGTCAAATTAAACATAGATATTGAAAAAAGAATAAGCAATCATAAACCACCATGCATAAATTCGTCTGCACATTCATAAATAAACATTAAAAGAGATTAGCGATCAGCTATTAAAACACTTAGGAAATAATAAACAAAAGAGATTATCTGTGAGGAAGAATTCTATTGTTACAAAGACTCAAGTTAATTTTCCATTTAAGAGCCTGACTGCAGTAAATTAGAGCTCGTCATGTGCATCCTAACATTTTTCTCCTCAATAGCTTACATTAATCTTGGAGTATCTGATTGATATAATGTAGAACAAATTCACTCAGGAAGACAGACTTTAGATGTGCTAGACTATATCAAAATTCATGCCGAACTGCAAAAGAGCCATTAATCTGTAGGTTGGCCTCTTGTTAAACTGACTCTCTTTCTTTCTTCCACTATGATCTTTTCAACGATTTTTTTTTTTTAACGAAAAATGAATATGGCCTAAAACTTTGTCCTTTTACCAATTTAGAGCTACCGCCTGAGGAGAGAGCCCAGAATGTCACACGGCTTCTACAAAAGCAGGCTGAGGAGGTCGACACTGAGTGGGAAAAATTAAACCTGCACTCCACTGACTGGCAGAGAAAACTAGATGAGGCCCTTGAAAGACTCCAGGAACTTCAGGAGGCCACGGATGAGCTGGACCTCAAACTACGTCAAGCTGAGGTGATCAAGGGATCCTGGCAGCCCGTGGGCGATCTCCTCATTGACTCTCTCCAAGATCACCTCGAGAAAGTCAAGGTACCATCTACTACTTTTCTTCATGGCCCTTTGAGAGACATAAAAGAGGTTCTAATCTGAACTCTAGTGCAGGACTTTTTTCTCACAAAGTTAAAAATAAGGCCATTAAACATTAGAAATCAGCCCATCTTTCACAAATTCAGTCTTCTTGCATGTAGTATTTTCTTCAAGAGATGATAGTGATCTAATAGTCTGTTTTCAATAATATAAAATGAAATATTAAAATTTACAGGGCAAAAAAATCATTTTGATTTTGGTGTTAGTAAATTAATTTAAGCGTTTGTACTAAAGTGGTTTGATTTACGTGTGTGTGTCCTTTGCGGTATTTAATATCAGTGTAGGAAAATATACAACATTTAATCAAGACCCAAAGGTCTAGATTTGGGCCTTTTTGCTAACTAAACTATGTGACTTGGGTATGTTATGGTACCGTTACAGCCATCATCACTGCCCTTCCCTTAGGAGACAATGTGTATAATACAATTTTGAGTTGTATTAGTCCACTGTAGATATTAAGAGATGGCATTATATATTTGTAATACTCTTAAATTAAGTTTATTGGGGTAACATTTGTTAATAACATATAAGATTCAGGTGTACAACTTTATAATATGACATCTGATACTCTATTGTGTGCTCACCACCCAAAGTCGTCTCCTTCCATCACCATATATTTGACCCCTTTACCCTCTTTGTCCTCCCCCCACCCATCTTCTCCTCTAGTAACCACTTTCTGTTGTCTAGAATACTGTCCATGAGACCGAAGTTACATTCCCTTGTGGCATAAAGCCGATAAATGTATTTATAAAGAAAAAAATATACATATTTAGGAGTATCATTGTGACAACCAGCAACTCAAAACATATTTCATTTATTCATCTAGTGTCAAAACCAACAAACATCCTCCCAGATTCAAATTCAAAATAGATGAATTCTCACCTGCACTTAGCATGTTAGGTAGCACCTTTTCTCCCTTGGCTTTCATGGCTCTGTTCCATCCACATTCTTCCTTTATTTTCCTTAATTTTGAAACTCTACCTAGCCTTCAAATGTTGGTGTCCCCAAATTTCTAACCTTAGCTTTATTCTCTTTTTAATGCATAAATGCTCTCAGTGTGAAATGGCATGGACGGTGATAAATCTGAATTTCTAGTCTGGATCTCTGGTCTCCTAACCCATAAGCCATTAGAATCAAAATGCAACCATTCTGCAATCCAGTTGATTTGTTTTCCTGTTTGTTTGTCTATTCTCTTACTGCTATCCCCTTTTACCTACCCTTTCTTCTGTTTTTCCTATTTCATTTAATGGATCATAATCCAACAAACTGGTCAGGCTAGAAACTTGAAGCCCATCCTTAAATCTGTCTACATTTCCACTGACTGCCTGTGATTGCTTATTTTACCTCAAAATATCTCTTTTATATTTTTTCTCCTCTTTTCAACCATGTCCTGTTCTAACCCCCAGTATCTGGTACTCAGATTGTGGTCTTCTACATCTTTAAACCCCATTTCCAAGTCAGTGTACCTGGCATATCAGAAACACTACATTTTAAATATTTGATGAATGAATGAACAGTTTATTTACTGATATTTCTGCATTATCCACCCTGTTACAAATCCAATCCAAACTCCTACAGGAAGCCGCCTGCCTGAGAATGAAGCCCAGTGAATGGAGAGGGCAGGTGGCCCTTTGCTCCTTAGCCCTGGTTTCAGTTCCTCACTGTTGCTCCCATCCTCCAGGCCATGAAATTCGCTCTGACCATACCACCCCTTTATCCAAATATGCCATCTTTTTTCATAACTCTCTACCTTTGCAATGCTCTTCTCTTTGCCTGGATCACCCCCACCTTATCTGCCAGATGAACTTCTATTCAGTGCTCAAGGCCCAACTGAAATGGCATCTGCCTTTATAGTTTTCGCTGAGTGTCTCCCACCCCCAACTCCCACCAAACAGAAGAATCTGCTCTCAATTCAGTGCTTTCACAGATCAACACACATGTTTAAATTGTCACACTTAAATTTCACATGTACTGTAGCAAGTCAATCATGTGTTTTTTCCTCCAAGAGAAGGTGAGGTTCCTAGTAGTGAGGATAACGCTGTACATCTTTGAATTCCAAGCAACATATAAAGAATATAATTCAGTGTCTTTATTCCTTCACTTAACAACTGTTTATGAGCCACTGTACAATGGGCTAGACATGTACTTATGAATGAAACAGACTTGTCTTTGCCCTCATGAAGCCTGCAGTCTAATGTTGATTTGATTAGCTCTTCATTAAGATAGTAGGTGAAGATTTAAAAGGAAACTTAAAATTTTGACTCTATAACTTTTAAAATCTCTTCCACCCCAACATTCCATTACCCTGTGTCTAACATTTAAAGCAATGGTTAACATTGCTGCTTACATGAAAATTAAAATGTTTTGAAATGTATTATCTCATGTTTATTCAGCATTAAAAATAGTATTTTTATCCAAATATATAGAAACTAAATTTTTAAGACTTTTTTCCCAAAAAATGACATTTTAGGAGAATGGCCCAAAAGAACTAAATTAATTAATAATCAATTAATGGCTGAATATATAGGCTCCAGCACAGACATAAGGAATTCATTTTTAGCCGTATCTTTCACACAGGAGCATTTGGAGGATATTGAGTATAGATAGAGAATGTATATAGCGTGATTTAATAACAAAAAATAACTAAAAGTAGAACAGCTTAAACAGCCCTTACCTAACCCTATTTGCAGTTTTCCTTTTAGTTCCCCTTTCATAGCTCTTCTCGATCCTAAGACTAAATTTATTTCCCATACGACGCTTCTATTTTTCTTAGACAAAGGTACACTTCAATTATAATACCTATCAGAATATTTATGAACTGGTCCTAATAGATGTATGTGATCATTTTGGTTTCTAAACCAGTACTATATAAGTATTTTATGTATAATTTAAAGTTATAGATTACATAAATTCATATATATTTATTTCTCTTCAGTAGCTCGTCTTCATTTTGCTGTGGAAATAAATCACTTTTCCCTGTTGCATCTCAACAACACCAGGTTTGAAATTCTGAAGCTTTGGTAATGATAGTTTCTAAGGATTGAATTTGATGAACTAAAACTTACTTTGAAAAGAGGTAGAAGAGTATTAAAAACCACCCTTCCCATTTTTTCTACTCAGCAATTTAAGACCTTTAAGGCTCCACACTGTAGGGAACTCCAAACTGATAGTTCAGCATGCAGCCAAAAGAACATTTTATATATCTGTCTCGGTTCATTTTCATCACCCCTAGTGACTCTATAATAATATCCGCCTCCATTCTGATCTCATTTGTTAAAGTTGTTATTCAAGTAACTATGCGATGTGTGCTTCTGTAGGATTTAGCATTATATCATTTCATTAGCAAATGTGGCTTTTGAATTTGGAAAATGAATAAAGCAATAACAACTAAATCCTGGGACACTATGGAAATGACATTATAGCTAGCTAATCATCTTCAGGACAGTGTACATATATAGTATATCAAACGAAAGGAATATACTATTAATATCGACTAAGAGAATCTCAGCCTTCCAAATAGAGCTTCCATAGGAATAACCACTAGAATAAAATTTAAATTTTAGATGCCTATTTATTTTTAAAATTTATGATTTATACTACTCATGAAATATTTTAAGGACAGAATCATGATTTCTTACTTTACTGGAAATAAAACCAATGTTTACATAGATACGCAAATATCCTTTCCCTGTAGTAATGGGGAATATGAATAAGTCCTTAAATCATATATCTATAAGTGAAATATAGGCAGGTTTTAATAATGTAGAACCACTTTTGAACATAAAGTCTACACGTGACAGTTTTGTTCTTAAGAACAATTCCTCTGTGAAATAATAGTTTGTGTGAGTTGTTTTTCCAAGTTTTTTGATGTTGTTCTAACCTACCATGATTTCTTTACACAGAGAGTGGTACATCATTCTTGAGCTAAGAATATTTCACTGCCCTTAATTTGCCTGTTGACTTGAAAGACAGTTTTTCCACATGCCATAGTTAAACTCTCCAAGGTTGCCATCTTGGAATATACATTTTTGCCACACCTATGTAGTTAGGCCTTTTTTGTTTTCTGTCAGACTTTTAACTTACATTTCTTACTGAGAAAAGTCAAGAGTTTTTCCAAAAGTTCTTACAATGAAATATTTTGATTAGACCTTTTTTAGAATTATAATTGAGACTAATATAATGATGTGAGTAGTAGACTAGGGACTATGACGAAGCCACCATGCTGTCCTGATTTATTTATATTCAACATTCACATCTAAAAATTTAATAGGAAAACTGGCAAATGCATCTATTCAGGCCTACTGTTGTGAGTCCCTGTGGCGTGGTTTATCTGAGAAATTTGTCAAAGAAATGCTATCTCAGAATTTGACTTTCAGAAAACCAAGTACGTTTCCTCCTGATAGATAATGTGAAATGTGATATAACATATTAGCATGTCATCTTCACTTTGACAAGCAGAAAGCTTTCAGTCATGTACACATAACTCTATCTTTCCTTACTTACTGCTTTTGTCATCTTAACCCACGTTCTAATGTTTTATTATTATTTTATTAATTTTGTTACATGTGTCATTTATATGAGTCAACCTTAAATCCTTTTTAATATAAGAGTTTTATAGAAAAAATTTATAATTCTTTCTTAGAGAGATAGGGGATACATGGTTAGACAGAACCATCACAAACAAGGCAGCTCTAAGAATGATTCAAAATATATAAGCTCTCCCAACTCAGAATAAAGGAATGGCATCTCTATAATAAGTGAGGTGTTACTGCCCATAGTAGGAAGAGGGAAGTTTACTAATATTTTGTTAATTTTCATTAAATGCAAATTAGTTGCTCTGTGGAGACGTCTGTTGTTGTTTTTATACAAATGCTGTGTGTATTGCATAAGCCTTTGAGAAGAAAATACAAACAAAAAAGTTGGACTCATAAATCTGGCTTAAG